ACATGGGGGTAAGTGTTGCAACATAGGATATGATATTCTGTCAGCCCCGGGGGTTCTCCCACTTAAAGAAGATAGAGTTGATTCGAATTCAATGTTATTGATCTTKCAGTCGGTTATGCTAGAAGTTGCAGGGGGACTCTTGGAACTACWRTTGAGGTATTTGTTCTTCTCTGAAAGGAAAGTAGGGTGGAAATTTGTATCGTTGGAATAATTGAAACAGTACTTTGCGAAGTGATTTTGATATTCTATATACATATAATGTTAAATATACATCTTCTGAAATGGATAGGCAAAACCACAAAATTTTTCAAATAAACGTGTCATAATTTAATACAACTAAGTGTATGTTAACTTTATTGGTCCACTGTATATTTATTATATACGTACTCGTACAGATACCTGCGTCACCCTTTAGTAAAATATTGCTCTTCACCATTAAATGTTACGTATACGTAACTCGGCTATAATCGCGTAAGCGGTGTCTACGCCAATCAAGAAGAAGAAGAAAACATTGAATTCTACAAGAACTTTTCTAGAGCCAATAGAGCGAAGCGAAGTCGCTTGTATCAAGTTGTTAAGCCAGTTTGGCCTTACGGAGCCCAACTAGTAGCTTGGTCAAATCGAAGCTGTATTGCCAGCATTCAGCGCTTTTGGTTAACGCTCTTTAGTACGTTAGATCTGCTTACCTGCACCGTGATCTATGCGTAAGTTTAGATTTAAATGAAATCTCCAAAATTGCAAAATCTCACGAACTGAGGCTTGAAACCCAAGAAGTCTTCCGACCTAGTAAGACAACAGTAAAAGGAAATTTATTTCTTAACATTTAGCTTTTAAGGACTTGAGTTCGATCGGTCAGGTTATATGGAAGCTATCTGTAAAAGTTGTCCAATATCGGCGGTTCCGTCAAATGGGCATTTAAAATTAAATCAGCACAGCTCGTCACGGTGATCATTTATATATTTACTTTATAGACATTCCGCCGTTTCCTTTTGGGTAAGGAGAGCGCTACGAAAGCGGGCACTCGCGTCTCGAGTGCCAAAAAAGAGGGAACGCGGGATGTTTCACGGGGGGCTGTTTGTTGCGGGTGGGGCAGTCAGCCATGTTGCGGCTGCCAAAAGAATAACTGGATAGCTTCATGAGCTGGTCTTTGAATCCAAGAATTTTGATGTAGGGACTGCGAAGGGGCTGTTGGAGCTTGCCTCAAAATATGAGGCGTTCTTGATGACGGTAATAACCGAGAATGCCCATCTTCGCGGTCACGTAGATTCCCTTAGGAGAAGTTGTGGGAGACAATCGCACCGGTGGCGCCGAAGCTGTTGAAACCTGGTCGGTCGTGGTCAGGAGTAAGGGACCTGCAACATCCTCTAAGGAAGTCATAAATAAAGTGGTCAAGGAGGTGGGTCCCTCACTTTGGTGAGGTTTTGGGGTTTGTGAATAATCCACGCTACGATTGCGTAGATGTGGATTCTTTACAACTGGGTGTATGTGTAGCTATAGAAGGGGAGTTCGGTAGGATGATTCTCGCTAGTGTTTATTTCCGTCAATTTAGCGAGTCCCTAGAGCCCTACCTGGGCTACATGGATAAGCAACTACTTCTTGCAAGTAGTAGCCCGTTTATCCTAGGGCTGGATGCGAATGCCTCGTCCTCGATGCGGTTTAGTAAGGTATCCCGGCATTCGTCTGGATACCAAAGCCACGGTCGTTTCGAGGCATTAAGCGAATGGGTGGTGGCTAAGAGGAGTTGGGGGTAGGCGAGCAAATTGCTGTTAGGTGCGTTCTTTCCTAGGTCGGAGCTGCAGATACCTCAAGCAAAGGGGTCCCTCCTCCTCCATTAGATGATGGGGAGTTGGGGTACGCCTTTGGCCTGGTTAGGTCTAAACGGTCCCCACGGACACGGAGATGTGTAAAACTTTGTGGAAGTTCATTCCGGAATATCTGGAGGCCATTTATAATAATGCGTTTGGGAGGGATACTTTCCACGCGAGTGAAAAAGTGCCAGAGTTGTTCCTCTCTTGAAGTCCCCCGATAACATCAGGAGCGATCGTCGATCTTATCGGGGCATCTGTCTCCTTCCAGTACTTGGAAAAGTGCTGGAAAGAGTCATGGTGGAACGGCTTCAGGAGCTATCGCGGGGTATATGGTCGGATAGGCAGTTTGGGTTTCGGAAAAGACGCAGTGTTGAGGATGCTTGGTTTTATGTTCAGGATGTCGGTAGGGAGAATGTCAACAAGTATGTCTTTGGCATATTTGTTGACTTGAAGGGGGCGTTTGACTTCCTTAGCTGGGATCGAGTGGTGCAACGGCTGGAGGAGCTTGGCTGTCCGGAAATTAATCTTTGGGGGAGTAATTTTTCGGACAGAAAGGCCTCTCTTGTCGGGATGAATGGGAGTGTGGAGAGTAGAGTGGTTCGTGGCTGCCCGCAGGGTTCCATCTGCGGTCCATATATTTGGAACCTTATGATGGACACTCTGCTTGGGCAGCTCGAGCCACTGTTTAAGTATTGTGCGTATGCGGACGACCTTCTTCCTATGGTCGAAGGTAGCTCACGGTCTGAGTTAGAACGGGCGGGATGAGATCTCTTAGAGATCATGAATACTTTGGGGTGTAGAAGTAGGGGTGGTGCTGCTTAAGGGCAGATTGTCACCGGTTCGTCCACCGATTGTCCGTGTGAATGGAATCAGCATCAGATATGTGACGCAAGACAAATATCTGGGGTTGACCATGAGTGAAAGGATGTGTGTTACTCCAAACTTAGCGTATGTGAAGGAGCGACTGCAGGCAACTGTAGAAAAAATACGTCGCATTTTGAGGAGCGATTTGGGTCTTGGACGTCGTACCATATATCGTGGCTTGTTTGTGGCCTGTGCTCAAATGGAGCCCCTCTGGGGGTCTCAAAAACTCCTCTCAATCCAGCGTTGTATGATGCTTGCTTATTTGCCTGTATGTCGCACCGTCTCACGAATGCAATGCAGGTTTTATTAGGTGCACCCCCTCTTGACCTGATTGTTATACAGTGAGCTGTTGTATTCAGGTTAAGATTTTGTCTGAGTCTGGGTTTTCTGCTTACGGGGAATGGGCTTCTGAATGCATTTTTGCATCAGAGGCACCTATCGGATGCGGCGGGGTTTTTTTGTGAGGCGGGGTCAGAAAATTGTTCGCATTTAATTGCGGAGTGACCGATGTAATCGGAGATTAGGGATCTGGGTGGTATGGGGATTAACTGGACTGATGGACAATTAGATGTTAGTGGTSTGATCTCCACTAGTCGGAATACCGAACAGTTAGGGTTGTTTGCGCGTGAATTATTTAAGCGGCGAAGGCAGTTAGCTGGAAATTAGGGTTAGATTTGTATGATTGATGTGTGTATGTGATGTATGTATGGGGTCCAACCCCCGGCCACCGGTCCAGAGCCGTATGGAAGCTCAACTGGTAGTAGTTTCGGCTACGTGGTCTGACCGGAGACTTAATTCTGGTACCACGGGTAGCAGGAGCCCTTGGAGGTAACTCCAACCTGCTCATGCGGACTGGCCCCTCGGGGAGTATCGTCGTGGTTGTGGTTAAAAAGCCAAATGCGGGAAGAACTGACTTTGTTCTTTGAATGTTCAGTTGCATTGCAACCGGGTGCCAGACCCAAAGCACGGCAGAGGTTTTAGATGGGCCTCGAACCCGACCAAAGTGGTTAGCATTCTCAGGGCGCTGATCAACGCATTGATTTGATCCGCTGTACTTTTGAGTGCCGTGGAGTAAAGCTGTCGTCAGCAGGTACCTACGTTAAACACACCGGACGTTGTTTCCACACATCGTGAAATGGAACATGAGTGAATAAAAGATTTAGAATTTGTTAAAACTGGGTTATATCTGAGCGCAGAACCTGAAAATATTGGGCATATGTAATATTATGTATATAATTTGAAGTAGTGAATCATAATCGATAAAGCACTCGTTTTCGAATTTTTTGATGATACGTTATTTTGCATTTCAGGTGATGATATATATAATACATACTATATATATGGTTATATTTGTTTTCGAATTCTTTCCTGTCCTCTAAGTACTTCACATACTATTTTTAAATTTCACATTTTCGCTCACATTGAAATCTTTTGATGAAAGTGTTCGCTGAAAAGTTTACTTAAATTATGCACTTTCAAGTGAAGTTGCTGTTTCATGTGCTGTAAGACATGGCGAAAGCAAAATTGAGGAAAACCTGCGTACGCCAAAATGTATGCAACGTTTTACTTTTCATTTTCCCGAGTGCCGACTCGCATACAATTTTCAAATTATCTCGAACGCCTTAAATCGTTTCGGTTTAGTTTTTTTCCATTATTTCAAATTGAATGAATTTTGTGAAATTGTGTACCCTTTCTTCCAATGCCCCAAGTGTTTTGACATTTTTTGGTATATGTTATGAATTTAGTGCATCGCCTGTTTTCTTTCTCTTCCAGCTCCTACTGTGATCAAGCAATTTCCCGCATATCTTGGTATATATCCGCGTGCACTGAACTGTTGTTATAAATTGCTTACGCGCCATATAAAAAACTGAATGTATGTAGAATTAATTCGCGGTGGATGTACGGAGGTAAGTAGATGAATGGACACTTGAAATAGTAGTTGATATCATACCTAAATACAACGAGCGTAGTTGAGACGATATTACAAATCGCAAAGCAGTATATACGCCTATACTTTTATAATCTTTTTGTTGCAGCTGTATTGCAAAACTGCTTTCTCTAATTGAGCTTGAAACTTCGACAAGTACAATAGGGACATAGAGATCTCGTCAATAAAATGTTCATAAGAAACATTTGCCTGCACCAGTTCAAAAAGTCTAAGTTTGTGCGTTACTTGTGTTGCTAATATGACGCCTCCCAAAACCATAAGTTTCTTCATGCAGTGACAGGTGTTTTCTTAGACTTATGGTTGTTATTGAGGCAATTGTTTTTTTTTCAGTTGGTGCTTTTGGCAGCTGTTACTTGATTTCTACTTAGTTCGGTTTGTTATTTTATAATAAATACATTTAATTTATTACTACAATATAGGTTCGGTTATAGGTTGGTCTCTATTTCCCTATCTTTGCTAGTATCTGGACTCCACCTAACAGGTTCTCACGACCCTTCCGCCACCAAATCAAGCAAAATCAATTTGTTCTGTTGCTCTAGAAACCACGAAAATTGAAAAGCAATTATTTGAAAAAAAAAAAAAGTTCATTGTCGACCATTCACCATTTGCCAACATTGTTTGTTTTTATTTCGAGATCCGTATTAAATATTTTTTTTAGCTTCACAAGCCCCATGCATGCGTTTGCAACCAAATCTAACAGCAGTAAATAGTCACGACATACTACAACAAGAAAGAATTGAAATAGAAACAAAATGAACTTCTGAAACTGCTGGCTCAATACCCAAAAAATGTGTGTGTCTGTGAGTGTTTTGGGTCTTTGGCACTTTTGTATGCCCAGCAAGCTGTCAACAGCACCCTATCAGTGCTGCAAGCACTACCATTCCGCCGCATCTAACACCAGTGAATGCAGCCTAATGGCTTAACTCATTTGCGAATGAAATGTAACAATGCCAGCTGTCACAGCGTGTGAGTGACATTTTAGTGCAAAGTGTGCGGCGGCTGTCCTGCATTGATATACGACAAAATTAACGCAAAGTTAACACTCGGTAATATGTCATTTTGGCACGTTATTAGCTGAGCAAATGCAATCAGCAGTCGGCAGCGACTGCTGAAAAAAATTAGTTGGCCAGCACCAGGAGAGAGTTAGTGTGTATATTTGTTATACATACATATTGGGTATGGAACGGCATTATACATTAACATTTGTATAAACTTATACATTTACGTATTTAGTTAAGTTAATTTAGTTAAGTTATACATACATATTGGGTATGGAACGGCATTATACATTAACATTTGTATAAACTTGTACATTTATGTATTTAGTTAAGAACAGCATGTTACCGTTCCCATTTGGAAAGCCAATTTGAAACCTGAGGAAAGATTTGTCGTTTAAATACCATAGTACGCCCCAAGGTACAGTACAAAATCTTCCCGTGCCAGTGGGACAAAGAAGTGCCCGTAGTCTCGAGAACACTATTATGATCAGAGGTGAATTTTCAATTTATACTTTGCATGTTTTTCGAATCGGTACATTTTTTTCCTGTAAATTGGTAGTACTGTTAGTGACATCTAAGATAAACTTCATATATTTTTTAGATTCGCTCTTATAGTGAATTCTTCGATATTTACTTTTCTGAATTTATTTAACAATGAAGTGCGATAATGCAGCATTTCATACTGCATTGGTTATTCGTGATCTTTTCGCCACATTTTCAACTAATATCGTACCGCAACCACCGCATTTGCCTGATTTACATTCGTGTAACTTCTGGCTGTTCAGCAAATTCACATATCCACTCGGAGGACACCGCTTAGATTCAATTGAGGATATAATGATATAATATTATGACTGGAAAATTTGTTGGAATAAGGGTATTGCAGCGGGAGGGGATTACCTTGAAGGTGATGAGATGAGCAAATTTCACCTTTCAATTTGAATTTGTACCGGTAGCGCATCAATTTAGGAAGACTCTGATTAGTCTCTCACACGTCGTTCTCAAGCGTTGGGCGTTTCAGGGACGTCGTTCTGGCGAACGCAAGAACTGAAGCAGCTTGGCCACCAGAATCGCCGTATGTTCGCGAATTCGCTGAGCTAAAGCTTGAAAATGGTCCGGATTTTTATTGAAAAACCGTCTTCAAGTGATGAGCCTCATTTCTGGCCGAATGCTTTGTCAATAAGCAAAATATGCGTTATTGGTCAGGCAGCAATTCATACACACTGCCTGAGTCACCATTGCATCCCCAAAGAATTACGGTTTGGTGTGGTTTATGGACTGGCGGCGTCATTGGGCTGTACTTTTCATGATGATAAAGACCGGCACGTTACTGTGAATTGGAATCGCTACCGCTCAATAGTAACCGAATATTTTTTGCCCGAATTGGATGATATGGACTTGGTTAATATGTGATTTTCTATTTGAATATATTTTCTTAATCGGCATTGCATTGCTCTATTTTTATGCGAAATAATGTATCCGCAGTAAGTAAATCACGGAATGTAATTTACATCAAAATCAAACTCGTTAAGACGAATCTTTCCCCTTTGCAACTTTGTATTTAGTTCTTTTAAATTATGCTGCCCTTGGTGTTATCTGTGTTCGCTATTTATTATAAACTTTCTACCACACAAATATGGTCTTAAATATTTTGCGGCCCAAACTAACTCCCTTTCCGTCATAGAGAAGAAGTTCATGCTCGTTTAAAGTATTTGGTTTGGTAATATTAACAAAATGTTTAATAAATTTGCGATAAAAACCTGTCAAACCTAAAAACTGCTTTATCCCTTTTTTGCTTGAGGTACGGGGTAATCTAATATCGTTTTAATTTAACTCGGGTTTGGTCTTATACCTGTCGATGTTACGACGTGCACCAAAAACTCTGTTTCGTTTTTTAGAAATATTTACTTTGTTTCCTGTACTTTAATGTCAGCATCGGAGGATACTTAAAAAACTTTTTCAAGCGATTCGATGTGCTTCTGAAATGACGTGGAAAAACGACAATAACGTCTATATACACCATACCATTCTCACCAATTTATCCTCAGAAAATTGTGTTCATCAGCTTTTGGAATGTGGCTGGGGTATTCTTCAGCCCAAATGCCATACTGCCATACGTATGTATGTATTTTTACTGTAATCAGAAGCCATTTATATTTGATGGAATCCCTGTGCCAAATCAAAAGTTGAATAGTACATACATTTTCATAAATTATCTAAAATTTCATCCAAATTTGGGGTCGGATACCTATCATCTGCGGTAATGTTATTTAACTTACGAAAACCGAAAATGATTCTCCATTTTTCATTCCCAGAGGGATCTGGCTTTTTAGGCACAGCCCATAACAGTACAGAGAATGGAGAATAGCTACGGCAAATAATTTTTTCCTTCACGATTTTCCTTATGTGCTTATCTACTTCCGTATATCGGTAAGATTTAACATAAATAGGGTCTTGATAGATAGTTTTAACTCGGTGTTTTGTTTGTTTTGTGGGTGTGGGTTTTGAGGCTTTTACACTCCTCTTTATTTATGTTGATGGCTTAGTCTGAATATAGTTTCAGCGTCGTCGAGTTTATAATATAATATTCAGAAGAAGAAGTTTAATGAGTTCTTGCTATTTTAAAAATTATAAAGACTTTCAGATTTATTTTCGAATTTAATTTCTTAAGTATATCAAAACCTAAAAGTCCACCATAATTGTTAGAAGAATTATGCTTATTTTAAGCAAGTATTTCCTGAATTTTCTCTATCAAATCTTTCCAGACCCCCGTTTTAAAATTATTGCTCTTATTTTTATTGCTTCGTTGCTGAATATACCTGTTTTAATTAGACTAACAAACGAACCCGTATTTACCAAAAATTTTATCTTTTTGTTGTTAAGTGTCAATTCAATTGAGTGTAGTTTTGATCTTGATCCATTGGTTCTGGTTGACCGTATCTACGAATTATCGGCTAATTTGAGTCAGCGGGATTAATGTTCCTAGTTAAAAATGAATTCGTTTACCGTACATTTAGTGAAGTATAGCTAAGAGGATTATTTAAAATATGAGGATATTTCTTTTGTGGGCCAGACTGACCTACCTGGAATGATTATGGCTTGAGAAAGTGTTACCTGATCGGACTCCGTCTGTATCAAAGTTATTATTATATTATACGATGGGTGTTCAAAAAGTATTGCGAATTTTGTGTTTTTTCAAAAATTATTTATTTATTCATGAATGTCTTTTTTGCTCCCTTCAAAGTAATCCCCATAAGATATTGACTTGTGCCAACGGTTTTTCCAATCTTCGAAGCACTTCAAAAAATCATTTTTTTTTTATCTTCTTCAGCTCCTCCTTCGATGCCGTCTTTATCTCGTCAAGAGAAGCGTAACGTCGTCCTTTCATGGGCCTCTTCAGTTTAGGGAACAAGAAAAAGTCACAGGGGGTCAGATCTGTGGAATACGGTGGCTGCGGCTCACGATGTGTGAGCAGGGGCGTTATCGTGGTGCAAAAGCCAATTCTTGCCACACCTTCTCGGCCTTCTGAGAACATTTTGTACCACCGACAAACGTTGCTTCGGTCCAAGGTAGCTTCTCCGTATGCCACAGTTAACATTTGGAATGCATCCGCGCACTTAATTTCGTTTTTCACACAAAATTTGATACAGGTTCTTTGATCCATTTTTTTAAATAGGTAAAAATCGAAGACGATCCAAAACACGTACAAGCAAAGCAGCTGTCAACAATTAAATGAACATTCAAAATGGCCGAGCTTGTCGGCAGAGGTGAGAGACATGAGTACCAACATAACGCCACAAAAAATTCGAAATTCGAATATACGTAGGCCGCGAAAATTCAAAATTCGCGATACTTTTTGAACACACCTCGTAAGTTAAGGAAACCTAGGCACTCAAGTATATCCGAGATGATCTCTCTGCGTGGATGTTCTTTCGAAAATGCCCAGTTGGAATCTATGCAA